AGAGAGCACATGAGTATCTTTTCTTCTGAAATCTTCACAATCAATTCTTAAGTGAATATTCATAAATGTTTGAATGAATGCAACTTTTCAATTGATTTATTGTAGTAAAATAAATGTATAGAAATTGGCCTAAATTTTCTGAGCTATTATTTCAATTCAGCAAAGCATATTACTAACTCAAAATCATATTGCCTAATCAAGCTTACATTCTTTGTCATTGATCTTTTTTGAAAAAAAAATGATGCATACTAATTGTCATCACAGCAACGAGCAAAAAGATCTACCACACCACATCCTGATCATCTTTTTGGCAATGAGTGGAAAATCAAATGTCTTTAAGGAGCAATTGTCAACATCAACTTCAAGGGAGTTCTTAGTTCATCTTGAACTATCACATACGATCAAAAGCTACACCATTAACAAAAATTTCTAGTTTGCATCGTCTCATCATACATATTTTGCTTGCTATCTTATATATATCAATCTCATGTGAAATCACAACGCTATTAACAAAAATTTTAATATATCTTTGATTTTAACTTGATGGCTTTTCTTCGAACACTTCTTTGACCAAAAGCAAAATCATCTATCTAATTGTGCTTTTCTGTTGCTACTTGTACTTTCTTTGCCTTAGATGTTGACTCTGCTCTTATATGAATTGTAAATCTTATAAAAGTAGAATATATTATTCATGCCGTTGACTTACACACAACACATATTCAACTCATATATAAAATTTATGATTCATCTATACAAAGACCAAGTACACTAGACAAACATGCTTTTCATGCTTTTAAAGTTGTTTTAATAAACTACAATCAACTCTCATGTAAAATGACACACTATTGTTATAATTACTAACTAGATTATTATTCAAATGAAATGAAAATTTACAACATATCTTTACAAATCAATTATTAATATTGCTCAAAACATAATCTTATCAAAAAAATTATAAGTTATGGAGTCAAAAATATGAATCCAAATACAAATTTGTGTTGATTTTAACAAATTTACTCTTAAATACATTGAAAGTAAATTGAAGTTTTACTTTATCAATCATATATTTTTTAATATGTTGCTTATAAATAGAAATTGTACTCAGTTTTTTTGGCTTGTATGCGAGGAATGTAAATGCATTTTCATCTATATATTTACATTTATGTTATGAGATTAATTGTTATCTGAACGTAGAACCAAAATTATATTTTTTTATTTATGTTATCAATAAATTTACTTGTTCTTATCATGATAAAACAAATATTTCATCACAAATTTTTCTTATAAAATCTCATAAATCATATAGTAAACGCGGTTCCTGTATGATTCTAAAGATTAAATAAAGATCTATTATCAAGATTGTAATAAATCTAAACACTAAAATTTTATACACATTTCAAAACATATGTGTTTAAAAATTTTTGTTTTTGCAGTCCTCATAAAATATTATTCTTTCTAATGAATCAAATTATTCAAAATAAATTTAAAGCACTGGTATTAGAAATACTAGTAAATGAAGCTAAGAAAAAAATTTGTTCTGGTTAAGGTTTTTTTTTAGTATAATGAATCTCCATACATTAATCTACATTTATTATATTTAATGTTTTGAATTAGAGATTATTAATATAAAATGATACTAAAAAGTAAAGAAAATCTTGAAATTGAATATGATTGATATCTTATTAAGATATCTCAACGTGCTAAATTTGTTTTTGATAAAGTCATAGTATTTGAGACAAGGACAGATGTGACACAAGAGAACCATGTAACATGATTTGTACCCACATTCAACATAAATATTTCACCGATGATTGTTTCGATCAAGCAGAGGAATCATCATCATAAACATGAAGAGCCCTTGAGAGCATGCGTGGAGTACCTGCATACTCCATCCTCACAGTCTCACTCACATTCAGTCAAAGAGCAGTGATGTCATCTCAATATCATTGCATGGGGGCTGATTGATTCACTTGGAGGCAGATGACGATCAGGTTGATAGAGGGGCCAAGAATGGGATCGAGCCTGTAAATCATTCCACCTTCGGACACCAGCATGAAATTGCTGCGCACCAAGAAGATGACAGTTGTGTCAGAATCTTACCTCCTGCTCTGGCTGACTCCTTTGATTGGAATCCAGAATCGAGATCAATCAGAGATTTTCAGATGTGGAGGATGATAGAGACTGAGGTCGCCCGAGAAACTCATGGTGGAAAAAGGTGGATGTCGCGTTGCACCCTGTATAGCACATTTCCTGGCTTCACGCGAATACTGGAGTGCAGCAGCAGCCACTGTTTGCTCTTGTTCACTATAGAGGAAATCTGAATCGGTATGCAGTAATGTCAGCTTTGCACTAGATCAACATCTCGTGTGAAGCTTACTAGCGTATAGCACTTCAGAACCAGAGGTCACCGAAACCATTCCGAAATTTCTTCCGAGCTCTATCGCTCATGAGTTTCCCCACTCTGTAGTCTCGACGATTGCAGAATGTTGTTGCAGAATGGATAGTGTACTTTCACAGGTGCTGGCAATTTAGCGCCGATATGCAAATAATACTTCACTGATTAGGCACGTACAAGCTACAGGACACATTGTACATCAATAAATCATGTGAGGTCTGAGGTACATGTACAGTTTGAGAAGGGTTTTGAACGTCGATAGGAATCTTCCGGGAGTATCCAGGGGCCCCAAACTGGAAGTAGATTCGGTCAGTATACGGGAAAAGCGACTTAAATTATTACACTCCAGAGGATAGCACTCTTGTACATGTCGGTTCCATCAAGGTTTTTACTTCCTCACCCCTGAAATTTGTACAATATCTCTCATGCCTTAAATATTACTCCCTCGAACCACCTCGGTATAAGGTGGTGTTCTTTTGTCGGTGTGTTACTTGACTCAGGAACAGCTATTTCCAACTCGGATGAAATGGCTTGAAAGCAATTGGTGGTAGGAAACATATTGTGTGCAGGTTGAAGTATGCTCTAAAATATAGATAGATGGACATCAACATCACAGATAAACCCATTGGTCTCTCTCTCTCTCTCTATAGCTCGCTCTCAGCTGTCGCTGTAAGAGGGTCCATAGCTGTTATGCACATAGGGAAGGAACTGCACTTGGAAGGGGTCGGTGAGCTGCGTTCTGGAGTCGAAGCGTTGCACTCAAAAGCCAAATTATTAGAGTATTTGACATTGAATTAGAAAGAGCTCTTGTCCCAAACGAAACTTCCCTGTTCGGTGACCATACACGACAATGTCTATTTGTGATATCGGGCTATGAAGGAGCAAAGATGAGAAAATGGGGTAAGAGGAAAGTGAATAAATAGGCTGATCCGTCAGTGTCCAAACATTCTTTAGCTATACATAGAGGCTCCACATTTGGATATTTGAAGTTCAATCTCAAAACATTTTCTCTTGCAGGTGGTATAGAAAATACTTCTCATTACTATATCATGGGACTCAATACGGATTAAACGCTCTTTTCTGATTTTTCTGATTCCTTTGAGGAGGTATTTCCCTCTTTAGTCTATCCATTGCCCCTCTTTAGCCTAAGTGCATATTACAAATTGGAAACAAGAATCAGAAAGCTGTACACATGATAGAATGCCGGAGGTAAAAAACTACGAAGGACGCCGAATTTGGCTGGTGCCTCTGCGAATTAGCCAAGAGCAACTAGAGAGCCAAACTACTGACAGAAAACCACCAAACAGAACAGGCAAGCCAAAACCGTCGTTTCGAGCCCACAATACCCAGACCACTTTGCAGCTCCGCGGCCTGTTTCAAGGAAATAGTGGCACTTCGAACTTTCCGCAGCCAGAGAGTCCTTTGGATTGCTCAACGGTTTATTCATGCATGGAAAATGAATGCGCTGGTTCTTTTGGAACTGGAAACCTGTGATAAATTTATTGTTGACCAAAGACAGTACATGCTGACTGGTGATAGAAAGGACATGAAGAATTTCATAATTTTCTGACAGGGCCCGGCTCCTGTAACATGTTGTCAGAGGAGAATTTTGTCTACATTAATGGGCGTATTTGACTTTTGTTTTGCTTACTGACAGAATTCAAACAGTCGTGGTAGGATTCAAGACGTCTTAACAGATAGCATAAGGCAAGTCCATTATCAAAGTAGGAAATACAGCAATAAAGCAATAAAGCAAACGTCAATGCAAATATATAAGTGGCACAGAAAATACTGCCGAAGAATATGTCTTTTGACGTGGTCCAAGAATGCGCAGAGTCTAGAGATCTCTCCACTGAGATTTCTTTCAAATCCATCTCAGCGGTGCTTCTGAGGACTGATCATACCATGAAGGCTATGATGACCTTTTGGTGAGTATCTAGAAATGATTATCCTTTTTTAAAGAAGAGGGCGACGACCTTGACTACACCTTCTAAGCAACTCTTGACTGATTTACGAGCCAAAAAGAAATATGACGAAACGAGTATCACGTCATTTCATTATTCTCAGTGTTTCGGAATCTTACACATCACAATTACAGAATGAATTAGTAATATACCTCCCACACTCACTCTGTTGCCATCTGCATGACGGCGATATACTTCGAAGGAGACGGAAGATCGAGCACACGGTGAACCATATTTTATGCCACGTTTTAAAGGATGAAGGATGAGGTCAAGGTGCCCGCTGTGTGTGTTGCAAACTGGAGTAAAGCGGTTTGACAAGTGTGCGCCAGTTGTCAAACGCACCGACCGGGAAGCCAACATAATACAGTTTGCATTCGAAGGAGATTTCAAGAGACCACGGTTCAAGGTGTCAGAAGGAACGATTGGAGCTGTCCAGCCGTACGAAACGGGGTGCTTTCAAACCCGCGTGACAGAGTCGGATATGGAGTACACAGAGTCGGGTGGATCTGCCACATCTCTCATCCTCTTTCCCATCTCCGGCCCTGTGACACCCACCGCAACTGTGTGACTTTCCCCACTAGTACAACTTACAGCAGGACACAAGCAGCAAGATAAGAGCTGGGCAGCCACAAGAGCTGCTCGACTATTCGAGTCACTGCAACCGAGAGCGTCATAGAATTCGTCCCGGGACTTCGATCCGAATTGGAGGAGTCAATCCTCCATATCTTTTGTGAGATGTGATGTGAATTGGTTTCTCTGTGAGAGGACAGACTGCGGACGACTGGCTTCAAGAGATGACTCATTATGGAGGAGAAGGGCAAATGTGGACGCAGTATGACAACAACAACTTGGCTTAGCAGACCGTGCTACCTGCCAAGAAGAAACATGGAGAAGTCTCGGTCGAGAAGGTTTCAACTATTCTTCAGAGGATTGCATTTTGGCCCTCTCTCAAAATCACGCCTGATTTTTAGCGGCTTTCATCACTCGAGTGAATATTCGGGAACGAGTAACTCCTCTTCTTCGACGAATTCTGGTAGCTCCGAAGTATCTTTTGATGATTCTAGATTGTGCAATTCCTCTCACGACTCCTCTTCTGCGTCCGACGTTTCACCAATTACCAATGGGAGTCTGAGCAGAAGCTCTAGTGTTCCATCGTTTCCATCATCGCATAGCAGGAGATCATCTTCCGGAGGACACAGAGTGATGGATGGCAGAAAACCAGTTTTGCTAGAAAGGGTTCCCTTCGGCAAATCAGGAAAATATCTTACTGTCTACATTGGAGCTCGCAGCGATCAATGCGTGAAGTATGTAATAAAGCGGAGTCTCCTGAAGCACCCTCTTTTTCAGCTTCTGCTGAAATGCTCAGAGGACGAGTTTGGAGAGGACTACACGGTTAACAAAGGGGTCGCCTTGGTTTGCGACCCAGAATTATTTTTGGAGGTCGTGAAAGCTGTAGATGATAACTTGTGGTCTCTAGAAAATAACAGAGGCGAAGTTGGAAACAGTAAATGCACACTTCACTGACTGGTTTCGACGTAGAGGAGTGATTACTCCTCAGACGCCTGGCAAAGCTTATCAGTTAGTGTCTCAATTTTGCTAGTGATTTAGGTGTGAATGTCAGATCACATTCTTCAGAGTGACGTGCTGAATTTTCAAAAATAGAAGCAGGGGATCAAGTCACGGAACGCATATAGAATTAGCATCATAAACTTTGCGTGGATTCCAACTCGAGTTTCCAAATAGCTCTGCCGTTTCTAACCCAGCTCGAGCTGTGGATGAATTCCAGCCGAAGACTTACTTCCGTTATGACTCGAAAGCTAGTAGATTAGGTCCGTCAACACTTCTGAAAGGGTTGATCATGTACAGAGCAGAGCAAGCAATGTTCTGGTTGTTTGCCTTTTGTTCTGAAATATTTCTCAATGCAGATAGGAACTGTATATAGTACGACCAGATCCTTGCGTCCCCTCACGTCATTTTGTATATCTCCGAACGAATGTGGATGGTGTTTTGGTAAGCTACAATTTGAAGCCATGCTATCTTTCGACCCCGTTGTTAACCGTGTAGCCCTCTCAAAACGCGCCCTCGTAAACTGAAACTGAGATTTGAGATCGAGTTTGTAGGTCAATCCGTTTGTAGAAACAGCGAGTTTGCAGTATGACTTACAAACTGGAGCAGAACCTATGAACTGTTTCTAGCAATTGGACCGCAATACACTGTGAACGCAAGATGGGCCACAATGGACTGTCAACTGACCTGAAGGAAACATGGAACTGAGTTATAACACAGCAAGACCTACAAAATGCTCTGCCACAGACTGATTGTCCACCATGATTTGTAATAGGGGTCTCACTCTGCCGTCCAATTGCTACCCAGATATCCAACATGTACCCAGTCAGATCCTTCCAAGAGACACGAACTTTTGCCTTACTTTCATAACAGAAAAGTCTTGCACTGACTACTGACCCTATATCATCAGACTCGTTTGCTAGACTGACTGATTACGGCAGAAAACTCGTGATTACAAGTCTGGATTTATGAACCCACGAGATACTGAGAGTTCTGGAGAAGAGAATAGCAAAAGCAAATTGCATCTTACGGGCGACGAAAAGGGCTGGAGAACACAGACAGTGACACTTCTTAACCGTTTGCAGAAGAGACTTGTGGGATGTGCCTCAGTCACTGGATGTACTAGATCTGCAAGAAGCGTCAACAAGGACTCCGCGGGTTCGAATTTACAACTCTTCGCAGTATATTACAGCTTCGCTTAAGCCTAGATCCGATGCTTTACTACCTGCGTGTTACGTTTTTTCTCGGCAGGGAAAATGAAAACTGGATCTTCTCAAGAATTCATCTTTGGTAAGGATTGCAAGGAGCTACGAAGTCCACTCAAGTTGCAGATCTAAAGGATTGAGAATAACTCAACCCAAATCGATTTTCAAAATTGACTTCAATCCTCATTTCCCATCCAATGCATACGAGCAACAGTCGTTGGAAACAATAAAGTCAGGCCATTTACCGAAGACTTCAAGTGCCTTTCTTTTATAAAAAGGGGCAGGGAAAATGAAGAAGTAAATAGCATCTTTTATTCACTACTACACAAATGTGTCGGTCCCTCGTCACATGAGGAAATGAGATCCACGTAACACAAGGTTAGTCCAGTTGCTGACTTCTGGTCGTGTAAGGATTATTCCAGCTGTAATGCTGGTTGTGAGGTCAGGAAGGCTTGTGAAGATAAGTCACGCTCGATTTTAATGTTTATATTATTATTCTCTGCTGGATACGTGATTGAGAGGTCGCCGAGGTGGTAAACCAGGCATGATGCGGGGGTGGTGAGATGCTGAAATGATAATGCTCGTGACTTCTTCCTCAAGAGGGAGCCGATGAGGGAATTTCCACCAACTCGTGTTTAGCTGAAAGCTCTTCTGTCATCCTCAGCATGGATGTTTGTTCGTTGTGCTGGTATTATGCTGTGTTCAGCTCATCAGATTCTTCTTTTCCTCTTCCTCTTCCTCTTTCATGGATGAGATGCTATCAATTGTTCGAGGAAGTATGGTAGGAAGCTGCGTGAAGGGAGTCTCGATTAGTGCTGACCTTTCCCTCCCATGCTGTATCAATGATAAAGCCAACTTCCACGAAGTAGAAGTTCTTATTGGCATGAGTTTGGGGTTGCGACTAAGATTGCAATAATTCTCCATCTGGAAATTATGTACATGTCGGCTCTGTTGTTCCAAGGATGCATTCAACACGAGTGGATCTTACACTCTGAACCAAGTTGTGCTTACAATGGTTATGGATTTATGTGATTTGATCTCGCTTGTCACCGAAATATCACAATGTATATATTGTCATACACCAAAGGAGTAAAGTTCAGGATTTATATATATTGTTGTAATGAGTCTTTAGATATTGACTAATTTCACATTCATTTTATATTGGAGAAAAAAAGTGTAACTTCAAATAATATAAATATTTCGACTGTAAAGAAAATGTAAATAAAAAGCATGACAGTAGATATAAATCCATGAAAAATTACTTTTTGAAAGTGTGAGTTATAAGTTGTGGTTATTAGCTTGATCATCTTCTTCGAGCATGGTTCGAGCTTTTTGTGCGGAGTGTGTATTGGTTATTACCATTGCACACATGATGTACAAGTAAAGAGTTTTCAATAACAAATGTGTGTCACATGGTGTTAGCATGTTCTTGTTTTTCTTTAATAATGCAAAAGAAAAAATAATAATTTCACAGTCGTATTGCTATGAAGACAATTTCCTGAGTGTGTGAACAAAATCATCCTGTACAAGATGCTAAGTAAGAACCTTGTGTACCCTAACTTTTAGATTAATTGTCCAACATTGTTTCTCAAGGTCATATGTTCTTGTGTGGAGTAATCTGAAAACATCAATCCTCAACATGGCAGCGGAAAAGTTTTGCGCTCATAATCTTTCAACTTTTCTTCGTTCACTCTTCACTTTGTAATTTTAAAACAAACTTTCTTCTACCATACTCTCCTATTTTATTCAATATCCCACCAAGTTTCTATTCTAATGCGGCGCCTCATACTCGCCGTCGCCAGGTCTCGAAGGGTAGTTAAATTTTGCTACACCTTTGGTATACATGGCTGCACACGATTTGAATCATCATATGAATGGGTTACTAGCTCAAACTTGTGAATTCTAATCTACTCGCATCGATGCTAAACACATATTCACAACAGTATAGAGATGCTTCCAGCCTTGTAATCTGTCTGTTACAGACTATGCAAGTAGGGTCAGTTGTCCTTCATGCGACTGTGTTCGGCATTTGAATCAGACGGAACTTTAGGCAAAGAAACTGGCAGAGGAAAAAGGGAATGTCGCAAGGTCATGTTCCGAAATTGCAAGAGGAGGTGAAGAGTAACGAAGCTGTTTCGAGATTTCATCTATTTTTTTCTAATTCGATATTTGGGTTATGGTAAGTTTAGGTCCTCTGCCTGTTTCTTTTCAGGAAAGTAGGACAGATTAAGACTGCCTACGTTCTTTGGCTTTTGCAGATTCACTGTCGTACCTCCAGTCAGCAGCTTCATTCATAGCCTTTCATGATTTTCAGGGTTGGCACCAGAAGTGAGCTGAGCGAAATCGAAGCGAATTTCCGACAGAACGTCACACCCGCTATTAAATTCTTCAGCCTAGCGTCTCCAGACCCCGCCATGCTTCTCTTCTTTCTCATCCGACTGCCCACCTTCGTCGAGGAACTTGTACCCACCAAGACTGTGCGAGAAAGACTCTCAACACACGAAAGATTGCTGTTCCAAGATTGCAGAGAAAGAACATTTCCGTGCTCCGGCGTTCTGTCCACCTCGTCAATGGGTCGATGTCAGTCCCGATCCATCAAATTCCTCCCAAGAAGGAGAAGATGAACATGCTTCTCGATGTTCTCGATACAGAAGAGCAATTGCGAACCCTGGACACACATCCTTGTCCGTCCTTTTCGTCTTGCGCTTCCTCAATCGATGCCATCATCAGCATTCACGAGGCACGACATGGATTAATCTTTTCTTCCATTATTGCCTGGACATTGCATTTCTTTTAAATGGGGAAACATTGACTATTAACACTGAGACCTAACTTCATCCCTCCTTGAACTTGACCTCGTACAATAGGTCCCTTGTCTTTCAGTTTGGTCCTGTGGCTAGTTGCAGTGGCATAAAAGTAAAGAGTTACATATATTTGAGTTTATTCTAATTATCCCTTGCACTAGGTCTTTGTGATATAAATTTGCAATAATTAAAGTAAATGCTTGGTAATACTTCAATCTATGCTAATTATCCCTCACACTGGGTCTTTGACTGAAGATTACGCACATACATAAGGTTGGTAATAATCCATGAAGTTACTCGTTGGCGCAAAACACTAGTTGCGAAGGATAGGATAGGATATTGTATAGGATATACCAGTTTAATCTGCCCAACATAAACACTACACACTTGCTCATTCCACCGCTTATCCGAAAGGACGCGCCCTAGTAGACCAATGAGAGACCGCGCTCAATTGTGTAAGGTGAATAATAATTAATATAAACTGAGTGATAATTAGACGCTCCAAAAAACAATTATCGTCTATTGGAAAATTGAGGTTGAAACTTTTCCACTTTTCTTTGCATTCAAGATGTTTTATTAAAATATATCAGTGAAATATATATTTTTGGATGAAAGTCGGCCAGAAAAAACTCCTTAGTTAGTGGGAAAAATAATGTGTATATTAAGAAAAATTCAAGCTCGCCTGAAAAAAAGCCAAGTGTGCAACGTATTTTAGGGTGATTTGATCAGTTAATTGAAACGTGTGTAGAATGGCTGACCTAACCATTAAAAAAATGCTTATTTCAAGGTATGATCAAGACTAGAAATGCGCATATATTAATAATGAAGATAGTTTTGATATACAAAGGGCAAAGTGAGTTCCTATGATGAGTATGATCATGTCAAGATCCCTAAATAATTTCATGGTTTCATCTGCGTTGATTGGACACCTGATAACTCAACAAGGTGATGAGTTTGTTGATATGTTGATATAATCAGGTTATGTTGTGAATTATCTGGTAGGAGAAAAAAAATCTGTGTCCTCATCGAGTACTTTATCCAATTATTTGACCCTAACCCATATAAGCCATTAGTTTCTTTGAGTCGATATGGATTAGAAGATCATTCAAGAATCAAAGTTGCCTTTACACATTAACATATTGACGATTATTGCCTCGATAGTTGCAGAAATCATCAAACTAGACTACTATCTTGATAATAGACATAATATAGAAACACTTTTTTCACTATGGATCCTGTTAGTTGGAATACTGCCATAACTATTAACTAAAGCGTTAACTGGAACAAAAATCGTTCCTCCGGCTAATCCGTGGTATGAGTGGGAGTATTGGAGACATACAATACAGTCAGTAGCTAGTGTAACTATGAACCTA